TGACCTCTATTAGACACCCAGACGCAGATCTGGCAGTCAAGAGGCCACGATGACTGATTTATGTGGGGAAGGAAGCAACAGATTTCTGCTTCCCTAAGCAGCTGCGGGGGGGGGGGGCAGCGGCAGAAGCAGAGCGAGCTGTGCGTGATGGTGGTAATTGAAGGAGAGTAGCAAACACCCCGTTTCTAAAGGAATTTATGCTGCATTAAAATGCCAACATTAACGTGGATAAAACCTCAGCCCAGATTGCTAGAAATTGGAAGATCACCACAGGATATTGGGATTAATCCTACATTCAGTTAGGTATACTTTATTAAGCCCATTTTGAGTTGCTACCATCCTCCACTAGCCCTCCCCACGTAAAAGTGGTGGGATGATAAACTGGTTGGGGGTTGATTTTTATACATGGAGATCCTTGTAGCAAGAAGGGAAGAAAAATGGTCATGGTGGTGTTTTCATGATATTAAAAGCTCATCTGACTACCATCCAGGGCTCATGAACCTAACTTTCCAAAAATCCTTCCCATCCCACCCACCTCCATAAGTAAATCTGGAATTATCAACATTAGGAGGCCATTAATTACATTTCTGAAGTTACTGCTGGATTCTCTAAAATTGTATCTATCTCTTGCCTGCAAAAATACTAATTAAGGGAACTTTTTAAAAAAGATAAGGAGAATAGAACATCTTTACTTCTCTTGCAATTTGGGTAACAAACTTCCCACCCCTTCTGCATTCACTCTGAAATCTGGATTATATGGGTAAGGCGACCAGATCCAACTGCAAAAATGTGGACGATCAATAAGTGTTAGTAAGATTTAGTAAACTTGTAAGTTTTTCCTGCCTTCTAGTGATTGTCCAGTTTTTTGTAGCCCAAATCTGATGGACCTAAAATGGGGAAAGCAAGTGGGCTTATTTATTGTTTGTTTGTTTATTTATTTATTTATTATAGTCAAATCCCGCGTGTTCCTGGTGCAGATCAGCCCGCCACACTTTGTACTGTCTCATTTAGGGTTGGACTAAGTCGCTTCTGCGATCCCTTCCCATTTCCAGAATCTGGGATGCTGATAAAAGTATCTGTTACTTGATGACAGTGAGCAATTAATGCGCTGCTGGTTTGCCAAGGGACATCACTAATCTGCCATTCCAGAGAGGGCCCCTTGGATGATCGCAATCCACGAGCACAATGCTTTTCCAGCAGGGTCAAATCAATATTTGACTGCCGGTTAAGTTAGACAAACCCAGTCATATAATACATGCAGGCATAAATCTTTCTTTAATGGATCTAAAATTCCTGTTTCTTTGCATAAAGCACACACTAAAAGCTTAGGGAAAATTATTTTTTTTACTACTCTTTAGCAAGCCTGATTAATTAAGTGGCAGGTTGGTTAACGTGAATTTAGAGTTGCTGATTGCACGGAAATGTAATTAATTTTAACAATGCCTTGTAAATCAGTCCCTCCTAACCTGGGGGTGACAGTTCCCATCACCCCAGTCATCTTGAGACTTATAATCTAACATTGGGAGGGCACCAGGATGGCTGCTGGGGATGGAATTGTAGTCAAACACAAGGTACCTGATTAGGGAGGGATGGGCATGGGTGAACCCCGTAGCACTTTTTACTAATATAGGGTTACAACCTGGGTAAGAACGAAGTACATTTTCTTTCCTCTGCCTGTCCTACTTTGCCTTTTTTTCAAGGCATCTTTACAAATAGGTAATTTTTAATCAGTTTGGGGGGTTCTGAGGCACTGTCGCAAATGTGTCAAGGGTGCCGAAAGCCTGTCTGAAATAAAGGACATCCATTCTAGGGAAAGGAGAAATGTCCCCCAGCACCTCTTTCCCTCCGAAACGTGGGATAAAGCCAAGTCCAACTCTCCCCCCACACTACCTCCCTGTCACAAGGCCAGCTGGTGGCTTTTGCCTGCAACAAGCCAAGGTGGAGCCCACAGCTCCTGGGTTCTCCTGCTTCTCCCATATGGCCACACGCCCTCCCTGCGGCCCAGCCCCTGGATTGCCTCCCCTCACTCGGCAGTAATGTCAAACAGTTGTCTGTGGTTGGAAAATAACGTTTTTAACTAACAATTTGGAAACTTGTGTGTTCAGAGTGCGATGGAATGGAGGGAGCAACTGGGAGGATTCCCAGGCTGTGGAAAGGACACATGGGCACACGTACACCCCACACTGGATGATGCCCCTATGCTTAATGGCCTTTCTTTGTCTCTTGAAAGGCACAGGCCCTCTCTATTTTTAATTGACAAGGAGGTCAGTTGTACAGCAAGCTAGCTGGGTTCCCACCACTCCTTAGACAAGCTAAAATGGATTTTGGTACATAGTTAGTGGTTCAGCAATATTGTGTAGGGCTACCAGAACCAGGCTGCAAAGCTCTGGATGACCACTAGATGGTGCCAGAGAGATACAGGAAGTGTGAGATTTTTGCAGGCCAGATCTGGTAGCCTTGATGTTGTGGGAGCCCAGCTCTCATTTTGAACCAGTCC